CTGTCCACTGTAATGGCCATTTTCCCTTGAGAGATAGAGAACCCTAGATACATGCTATTTGGGCCTTTAAGGCCAAGAAATTAAGTAGGAGAACTGTGTCATCTGTTGAGCACCCTTTGGACAGGCTAGAAGAATTTGTAGAGGTTTGTAAGGGGTGCAGAGAGCAGGATTGGATTGGAGCAAGAAGAAAGCCTGGAAGAGATCCCTTAGAATGGATGGATCCAGGGACCCAAAAAGGGGCCATCTGCTTGGGTTGTCTAAGGGATAAGTTGGCCAGGCCTGGGTGCTATATTTGATCCAAGAGGCATTGTAGGGGAGAGTCGACCATCAGAGAGGACACATTACCCATGTAAGGAGGAGGGAAGAGGACGCAGAGAAGGAGAAAACTGATTTATTGACAAAAGGGGCATCCCCGCTACAGCCAAAAAATCAGGAGTGCCTAAGTGGCAGGTTCGAGCTGCAGAGATTGGTCGTCACCAAATACTAACAGTCAAAGCTCTCGTCCTGGATGGACCTGAAGCCATGAAAGACCTTGACCAAGGCTTTTCGGAACCCCTCCTGGAGAGGCTGGATACTCCCAGGGCTGCAAAGAGGGGAGAGGAAGGGGAGAGTAAGTGTCTCTCTAGCGGTGGAGTCTTAAGGTGAGAGGACTAGGACTTTTGAATCTGCCCAAGGAAGGAGTCCCTGAGGGCCACTGTAGCCTTAAAGGCTGTGGTGGGGTGCTTTCCTCCCCACAGGTGGGCAAAGAGATTTGCCGAACGATAATCAACATATTGCAAGAGGGTGGATTCAGGGCACTGGGGGTGAAAAGATTAGAGGTCAGAGGCCAAGATTTGTCCAAAGAGGTGTGGAATATCTTGAAATCCCTGAGGAAGGACAGTCCAGGTTAAAGGCAAAAAGATATCCTTTAAATCTGTGACCGAGAAGTGGGTGGCAGTGTGAGGGATCTGAGACAGCAGAGTGTATGGGTTGGGAACCAAAGGATGTATGGGCCTAACGGAGGTGTTGATGAGTCATAGGTCCTGAAATAAGCAATAGGACCCGTTGGGCTTTTTTACCACTAGTATGGGAGTATTGTAAGGGGAATAAGCAGGACGGAGGTACCCCTTGCTAAGAAGGTCCTGAATAATAGGTTGTAGGCCCAGAAGAGCTTTTGTGGACAGGGGTATTGAGCCTGATTTGGGAAGGTGTTAGGATCTTTGAGATGAATGTTAACTGGTGGGCAGGAAATGGTGGAGGGAGTGTGGGTATCCCATACAATTGGGTCAACCAGGTTAGTATGGTATTTCATGTCAGCCTCACAAGTGGAGCAAAATGGCCAGTCTTCTGCCAAAAGGGCCAGAAAAGATGAACAGGCCAATGCTGGGGCCTGACTGATGACAGGAGTTCATATGTTGATTGTTGTATTGAATTTAGAGAGAATATCTCGGCTGAGCAAAGGAACTGGACATTGGGGCATAACTAGGAATGTCTGAGAGAATGGGAAGTTGTCTATGGAACAGAGTAATAGGGGAGTCTTTCTTGGATAGATGGTCTTTCCTCCTATTACCCCGACAATAGGAGAGGTGGACAGCACTGTTTGCCCTCAGAATTCTGTCAGGACTGAGAAGGTAGCCTTGGTGTCAAGGAGAAAGTCGACCTTGCATCCAGCCACCTGAATCCGCATCCTGGGTTCCTGTCTATTGATCGTTATGGCCAGGGACAAGGACCCAAGACACTATCAATCGATTGCCATGCCCAGAAGGTCAGAGGGTTCCCTGGCCATAGGCCTCCTACAGGATCTAGGACAGTCAGAGCCCCAATGACCTTGTTGTTGACACTTAGGGCATGGAGTATGCAGAGTATGTGGTGTGGGGCATGCCCTGGCCCAATGTCCCTCCTTGCCACACTTGAAGCAGGCACAGGGAGGGGGGGTTGGTTCGGTGATGGGCGGCGACCCAAGGAAGCACCCTGCAGGGCCTGGGCAAGCATCTGAAATTTCTTAGTCTGGGAGGTGGCAGGCCATGTTAGAGCTTTTTTAGTTTGGCCCAGATGTTGGGGTAGTTCTGTGAGAGGAAATATGTCATAAGGACATGACAGCCATCTGGGGTTTTGGGATCCAGGGTTAGTGCTGAAGGGCTTTCATAAGCCGATCCAGAAATTCCAATGGGGTCTCTTGTAATTTTTGGAAATTGATGGCCTTACATGCTGCTTTTTATTTAATAATTACTTTTTTCTAATTATTATTTTGGGTTCTATATGGGATTTAATCTCATGGAGTATTTTCTCCATGTAATTGGGTATATTGACTTTGGGGGAATAAATATCATGATATCTTCTTGTTGGATTGTTCCCTTTACTAAGATGCAGTGGATTTCTTTGTCACTTCTGATTGATTTTTGCTTGAAATCTGCTTTGTCAGATATGAGAATAGCTACTTCTGCTTGTTTCCTTGGACAATTTGTTTGGAATATCTTTTGCTATACTTTCATCTTCAGCCTGGGCATGTCTTTGCCTATGAGTCTCTTATAAACAACATACAGTTTAATCTTGCTTTTTGATCCATTCTGCCAATCCGTTTCTTTTAAATGGGGAGTTGAGACCATTAACATTCAGTGTTAGTATGGATATGTGTTTGTGGTTTCCTGCCTTTTTTTTTTTTTTTTGTATATTCTATCCCATTTTGACTGTCTTTTGTTGGATTATTCTTCTATCAAACTTCTGTTTGTAACCTTTGAGAATCATTTTGTATTTCCTCTGTGTAAAGTTTATCTTTGAATATTCATTGTAGCACTGGATTGGTGCTCATTAATTATTTTAGCTTATTCTTGTCATAGGAAATTTTTATTTCCCCCTCAAATTTGAAAGTAAGCTTTGCTGGGTGTACATAGTAACATTGGTGGTGGGAAATCTGCTCAGCTCAAGGCAGCTGGGAAGGGTGGAGAGACAGGAAGGGCTCAGGGGCAGATATAATCCCCAAGGCCACACTGCCCCAGCCAGTAGTATTCACCACCTCCCAGTAAGTGGAGTCAAATTATAATCCACTGGAGAGATCAGAGCCCTCATGATCCAGTCATTTGCCCTCTGAACATGCTACAATGCCTAACACATGAGCTTTTGAGGACACTCCAGATCTAAACCACAACATTCTCCTTTTGTCTGACATCCTAAATTCTAAAAAAAAGCTGCACCTAAATGATCTAGATGTTACTGGCTAAATAATCTTTCTTCAGATTTACAGACCCCAGAACATGTTGTGCACCTTTGGATAACATCAGAATGTAGAACACCCGTTCTTACTCTGCAATCCTGAGCATCAACTAACACACAATCCATAAACTGTTGAGATGTTTAACTTACAGAAAAGTAACATATTTGTCTAAATAACTGAACAAGCTAGCCCAAGGTCAATTGTGGTGTTCTAGACAGAAAGAATAAAAGAAAAAAAGGAGAGAAGGAAAGACACACCTTCCTGCCTGTTGTCCCAGGCTGCACCTCCTTTCCTACTCTATAAAAGCCCTGGGGCATACCTGGGTTCTCTAAAATGGTCTTTTGGGGGCAGGTGCTGCCCTTGATGAAACCTGATTTCCTCTGCACCAATTCTCCTCTCCTAATATTGGCTTTCAAGCAGTGTGCAGGTAAGAATTGGCTTCAATAATACCTCTATTTTTTTCTCTTTTTTATATTTTTTTTCTTTTTTTCTTCTATTAAAATAAATACAAATTGAAACACAAATCCACTTAAAAGTTTTTCTCTTGGCATTTCAGCTAAGATCAGAAAATAAATTAAAAAAAAAAAAACAACTTCCAATGAAAGGGTTTTGCCCAGTTGCATGGCATCCTAAACACCTAACAGTTATATTTTAAGTTTGCCTGGCTGATTATTGCCTTAGGGTAATAAAATGGTTCTATCTGTCTTCATAACTACTCTTATGCCTTGGTCAAAATTTTCATGGACCTGGAAAAATTAAAGTGCATGGTTGTGGAGCAGGGAAGGAGTAGTTAGACACTGCCTGAGAATATGCAGGTGGTAGGAGACCCCCAAATACCCCTGCACTCCCCAGAGTCTTTAAGGACAGTCTTTTTATTAAACCTTTCCTTGGAGATTTGATCAATCCATACAAAACTGACCCCAATTCTACCTCTGCCATGATGATTCTCACATGAGGCTGTTGTATTAGTAATAGATGTCTTTTTGTGGCAAAACCCTCTTGGGGCCCAGAGCCCCAAGAGATATTCCTACCTCTAGGAGACAATCTGTATGAGGAACTGAGAAATAGCCTGTTCTTATTGAACAGATGCAGAAACTGAGGCTCTGGAAAGCAAACTCATTTGCTCAGTATCACAGAGCTTGAAAGTCACCACTACTGACTACAGAACCTGCTCTCCTAACTCAGTTGGCCCAATGGGGATAAGATGGGAATGGAACAGATATGGAGGGAAGCCATCCCCATCCAGCTCCTATAGCCGCTGGGACATCACACCCTGCCTACCCTGAGTCTTGCACCAGAAATGCTGACAGGCTCATACTAAGATGGAAGTGGAGACATGTGAAAAGGGGAGAGGCTATAAGGAACACTGTGGGGCAGCATTGGACATTCTTTCTTCTTAACTTCCCTGGGTAGGAGCCTGAGGTCAGTGACAGAAGATCTATCCCCTAGGGTCCCCAGAGAATTGGTATGGAACTGTGTGTAGAATGAGGCTAGATACTCTGAGGGGTGGGAAAGGCAGCACTCAGTGCCTCAGACCACCTCACACTCGGCTCACCTGGGAGGCTGCTTCCTGTTACAGTGAGGGAGGATAGGCCATACCAGGGGGTATGGGGGGCAGGAGCCATATTTCCCCTCTGATTTGGGGTTTCCACAAGAATAATTTGACTTACTAGAAGACCTTATTTAAAAATAGTATTAAAAATTAAAATTTAGATTTTAAAATAAGAAAAAAAAAACCTCTGTATTGACGAAGATGGAGCTCTAGATTTACTGGTTTCCTTTCCATACAGGTAAGGATTTTGCTTTAAGATCATGTAGAGGGTGCACTGCTACCTCTCCATCTAGGAAGCAGGATATCTTTTTTTAGAGCATAGAAGCCACATGGATTAACTTGCATGACATGATCCTTCAGAACTGTGGGGATTTCCTGGACAGTTCCCAAGCCCTCAGAGAACTACACTCTTTCCATTTCTTAGATGACACTTAGTTCTTTGAATTTCTCGGAGAAGCAGGCTCTGCTCCAGGAAAGCATCCCCTGACACTCACTCTATTGTCCTATCCCTGGCTAACGCTGGTCTATGGCAACCACAGAGCCTTGCAGAGGTGGCTCAATGGTGCCAACCTTCCGATTTGTGTGAACACAGCAGCAGCCAGAAGAGACGCTCTCTCAGAAATCTATGTGGAAAGGATAGTCTTTGTGGCTTTCAGTTCTGAAAAACAGAAAAGTGAATAAAAAATAGAAACAAAGAATTATTATTTTAAGAGAAACATTTGAAATGACATAATTATGTATTTTTAATGTCCTAGATTATAAATTAGTCTTTGACTTCATTTGGTGGCCCATTTTCAAACAAGGAAGAATTATGGTAAGAAGGATTAATTAACCTAGAATTTATGTTGTAACTAACTATGAGTCAACCATCCAATTGGAATATTTCTCTGTTTATTTTACAAAGGAGTAAAAGAGGCATATTTACGTGGGGAATGTGGCCAATCGAAGGTTCCTGTTAAGACTCATGATTTCATCCATATGATTCTCTGTTAATTCAAAATCGAACACCTGGAAATAAAATTTTCAAAGGAAATTCACTCATTCATATTTAATTTGCATACTACCTACAAACCACTGTAATATACCTGCAAGGGACAAGAGGATGGGAAAGAAATACTTCATCAGGCCTCTGGAACTTGCCCTGTATCACAGCCGACCTGGCCGAAATGCACTTTGATTTGAATCCCTTGGTTGGAGTTGGCTTACCCTTGGCTACTTTAGGAAACCTTGAAAAGATAGGACACATGCTGCTTTTATCTTTTGGAAGTAAAGAACATATGGAAACGGTCAAAAGGTGCAGCAAAAAGTTTTTTCCATTGACCCACCTTCTCCCCTGCAAAAGACGAAGACTTTGTTTCATACACCCCACCAACTAGGGAGCCACCTGCCCCTGAAACTGTTCACTATCAGCATCAATGTCACAGAACCATTCTTCTGAGTAATCACGTTTTGTTTCTTCTGGAATAGTATTCTTGCCCCCTCCCATCCTCATTCACACTTGAGGATGATGACAGTGACCCACTCCCACAACAACAGTGCTTCATGAGTGTCACCCAACAGTGTGGAGGGGCTGATCAGAGAAGGGCACGAAGGCACAGCAAGTGATTCCAATATACCCTGGCGGTTGAGAGGCCTGTGGGAGCCAGCCTCTACCCCAGGAGATGACCATCTTGAAGCCATGAGAAATTGGTTACACACAATGTGGGAATTCTGATCGGAGGAGCAGATATGCTAGTGGAGTAGTTTGGGTTAAGGAGGGAAGAAAACAGCTTTAGAGAGTCCCTAAGATCAGGCGGTTGTCTCTGGCTGGCCCAGGGACAGCATCTTCCCCAGTGGGTGGCTGACTTAATGCAAAGGAACAGGGCACCCTGACTGTGCCCCAAAGTCCTAGAGTCAAATCCATTTCCATAAGGGGCCATGCCAATCCAAAGCACTGAGAGCTGAGCTGCTACAGGTGAACTGAAGGGCAGTGTGGCTCTTCTAGCGTCTGCCAAACCTTTGTGCAGCTATGAACCATCATGGGTTGGAGGTCCTCAGATTCAGAGAGTCGGATGATCTTCTTGAGTATCTGACCTTCCAGCAGCAATCCTGGCTGCCCTGTGGGGGCTGAGAGCACCATAGCTGGGCCCAGGTAGGAGTCAATGTCAGCTACTGTATGCCAAATTCTAACCTCTGGCCCAAGACTGGGCCTACGTTCCAGAAGCCTGTCAGAAGCCATCTAAGAGAGAACTTTTACTTGCTAAATTCACATTCCTCACGTATGTGAGTTGGCTGGTCACCTTTACCTGATTTGAACTGTTTAAAACCAGGATGCTCCAGGAATGATGAAGGGTAGTGCACAGGTGGCAGGTGGGAAAGGGAATCTGTGACCCACAGGCAAGGGCCCAGTCGGGAAAGGACTGAGCACTGCAAGGTTCTCTGCCCCATTCTCAAGGTCTCCTCTTGAGAATGTATCCTCATGGATACCCTGCCTCCACTACTGGGAATGCAGCTCTTGCCAACAAAGAGGCTGTTCCCAAACCAATCAGCCTGACACACAAACAGTGAGCCCTAAGGCATCGACACTGCCCCAAATAGGTCAATTGGTGGGTACATCTGGGCATGCATGCTTTGTGCCAGCTATTGTACTGAGCCCCGAGAATCCAGCAGTGCCTCGCACAGGAGATGGGAAGCCCAAAGACTGACACAATCTCTGGGCAGAGAACTATGTTTACTGCAGATCCAGGCACCTAGCAATCCCCAGCACACACAGGTCTACACTGCACTGACGTTACTAATGAGTGTGGGCTACATGAGAGATTTTCCATGATGATGACTAGCAGCTAATGCCAGGCATTTTCCTGCCCCAGGCAATGTGCCAATCACTATGTACATTATGTTTAACTCTACAGTATCCTGTGAGATGCACCTGATGGGAACCAAGGCTTAGAGAGGACCCACAGCTGCTAAGTGGTGAGTAGGCCTGTCAGATCCTAAGTCCGAGATCTTAACTACTGTGTTATGGAGTGTGCTCTGGGTTGAAGGCACACCTAGTTCTAAAAATAAACTTCACACACTTCTGTGATTCTTGGTTGAGTTTCAAAATGCTGTCCTTACAAGAACCACCATCTTTTATGTTTTATACATATTCTGGTAAATAAAGATACCTACCCATTGGTTTTTTACTCCTACCTCTCTAGTCTCTAGATGGGAGTCAGGGATAGATCCTTCAACCAACACCACCCAAGGTCCATGCTCTCCTGCAACCAGTGAGCATGCCTCCATGTGGCAGATGGACGAGATGCTACCAACCTTCTTCCTCTTCCTCATGACTATGTTGCTGGTCAACATCCAGCCTCCCTTGAGGGTCAGTGTGGCCCCATCATCATGTCAGCCCACTGAATGTGAAAGGAAGTGAGGTGCACTCCAAAGTCTGGCCTCCCCCAATTTCTCCTATCAGATCCATTTCCCTCCTTCCGATGGTGGGCTGCATGGCAAAGAAACCAAGCTCTGGTGGACAGGGAAGCTTTGAGATGGAAGGAACCCAGGGCCTTAGGTCACTGAGAGAAAGATTGATTGCCAAGACATTGCAGAGGAATAGACAGCAGATGTGTCAAGGCCACAGGATGCTGGGCCTGTTTGTTATGGTGGCTAGCCCACCCTAACTAATATAAATTCCCAAACCCTCTAGCATCAAAGAAAGAAAACACCTACCTGGATGTTTTCTTGAATCCGCTTTGGGTTGGTAGACTTGGGAATCACTATCAAATCCCTCTGGATCTGAAACCGGATCAGAATCTGCAGAGGAGAGTTGACATCACACAGTGGTATTCTCATGAGGTCAAACCTAAGTCATTTCCCTAACAGCTTGAGCCTTACCATAGAGCAAGAATCCACAAGTCTCCTTCCTGCTAAGTCCTTGAGAAATCTCACTGGCATTTTCCAAACAGTTCTCTCAGTAGTAACTGCCATTGGCCCAAGGAGAGATCAAGGATGTGCTCACACCTTAATGGGTTTTCCTTAACATGTGTCCAGTCTCCAGAGAAATCAGGGCAAGAACAAGCCATTGTAATAAAGGACTCTTCTGTTCCCTTTTGCACTAGACTCCCATGCAGTGGTGGGGCAGAGGGGACTGCCTGCGAACTCCTCCTGAGTCCTGGCAGGGGAGGGGGCAGGAGCACAAGCCTTGAATCAATGGGACTATGAGGCAACGACTCACTTTCCACACTGGGAAGTTCTGGTGAGTCCTGGACTCATCCAGGTAAGCTAACCCTTTCCTAGAAACTGACAAGCCTCAGGAATTCAGGAGGGAGAGGATGTGGGAAAGTAGTTCCCAGGTGTGACAGCCCTCCCCAGTACCTGAGCACATGACTTGTTATAGTGATTTGCAATTCTCCGAATCGTGGGATTATTCAGTAAGTCCGTTCCCTCCCTAGAGAGAGACAGCGCAGTGGGTAAGCCAGCACAGATGTTTCTTTCTTTAAAATAAAACCTTTCCCCCAAATGAAAGGTTCCATATTTTCTAATCACAATACACACTCACTGTTGGAAATTTGAAGGATGCAGAAAAGCACATCACCCCAAATACTTGTCTGGAGAAAATCAGGGATAAATTTTGGTGATATCTACATATCATCCCTTTTTCATGGCATTTTGAACTTCTTATCAAGAACCAAGTGGCAACAAAAACCACCATGCAGTGGGCTCTCCAAGCTGTGGCAGGCCCAATGACACAGAGGCCCTCTAATGCCTCGGCTGGGCTGTCTCCTTTCAGACCTGGCCGAGGTCTCCAGCACTGCCAGGTAATCTTGTGATGATGGAGAGAATCTCAGAAAAGTATATCTCCAATACCATGAAAAGGTGGACACTGAACACATGAAAACTTCACTACAAGAACTTTTGAAAGACTATGATACATCTGTGGGGAACCATTTTTTCAAGAGTCATTTATTATGAATTTTTAAGTAGTTACTGTGCTTCAAGCACTGGGCTAGTTAGAGTCCTCAAAGGGTCCCTAAGGTAGCAAATACGGCCCAATTTTCTTTCCAAAGACCCATGTTGTATCCCTTCCTTTGCTGGCTCTCCCACTCATCCATCAGAGGCCCTTCTATCCCAAAGTTCAGCTTTGATTTATGACCAGCCTTCCAAGTATTCCTTGGCTGCTACCAAGTTCAAATACATATGCCCCATTTCATATGGAAAACATGCAAGTGATAAAATTCAAATAATTTCAGCCTGTCCTAGGATCCTAATATGATCTAGGCACTGAGCTAAGTTCTGAGAGCAGAAGAATGAATAAGATACAGTCCCTGCATTCAGGAGACTTTACTCAGTGGGACAAAGTAATAATAAAATAGTGACAAGATGGGGTGGCATGGACTGTGTGAAGGAGGGCTTCCTGGAGGAGGTAATGCTGGATTGAACTTCATTTAGAAACAGGAGGGTATGAATTGAGAAAACATAGATTTGTGGGTAAAAAGATCAGTATAAGCAAAAGCACAGAGAGTAGAAAGACCCTTTTCTATCCAAGGAACTACTGGGAGTCCTGTGTGGTTGATGCAGTAAAGTTCAGCAGCAAGGGGAGGGAGGAAGCCAGAGGCAGCCAGAGGCCAGGCCAGCTACAGCTCAGGGGCCAGCTAAGACCTGAAAAATTTTTGAGCAGGAAAGTGACATGATTATATGAAAACAGCTACTTCAGCTACCCTTGAGCAGTGCACTGGAATGGGATAACTCTGGGAAGGAGCTAAGGTGCTTCTCTAAGAACCCGAGGGAATCCTTGCTTCACCCAAGTTGAGATGGTGACAACAGAGATCAAAAGACATCTGAGTTCTCTTGGCACCATAATCAGTAAGTCTTGGTGGACCATGGGAAGGGGAAAGATGATTTCCATAGTTCTGGCTTAGGTGGCTAAGTGGGTGGTGGTAGCTGATTAAGGGAGCACAGTACAAATTTAAGGCTGAAGGGAAGATAACACGTGGAATTAACATTATCTAATGATTAAGAGGTCTGTGAAAAGTCCCTTTAAAGAAGTCAGTAGCTGACTGATTTACTACTGGGGAGCTCAGCAAAAGGGGTCACTTGAGGCTGGTTATGTAAATTAAAAAGGGAAAAAGTGACTCTAGCTTCCAGTAACAGTTCCCTATCTCCAGCCCAGGGACTTGGGAGGTGTGACTGCCCTTTGCGACCTCCCACATTCTGCCCATCCTTCTTGATGGAGTTCTTCCAGTTCTCCAGATGAAAGGAGAGGGTGGCATCTATTGCTGCCAGGACTCCAAATAACACAGTCACTGACTCATCCTTACCTCGAGCCACCAAGAGGACGGTAAGCAGTCACAGACACATCTCTGGCTTTGCAAAAGCTAATCAAATTCTTCTGAGTAAGATATGGATGGCACTCAATCTATAAACAGAATCACAGCATACCACACAATTCAGATAACAGCATGCTAAGAAAGTTCTAAAAGATGGGACCGACATTGGTGTCTTGGTTACCGTTGACTAGCTGCAGGCCCCAGGCCGAGGCCTAAATATCCTCATCTGCATGTGAGCAGGCTGGGCCATGCCACGGCCACAATGCCAGGTCCTATAAAGGCCTACAAGTCTGCACCCTCATAAACACCCACTTGCTGTAGCATCACCTGCTTGGTGTGGCCTTCCTCAGTCACTCAGAGAAAAGCTGCTTCATTCTGTGGCTCCTAACTCTCTCCTGTCCTTTATTTTCATCTACAGTACCTACAATTATCTGACACACCCCATACATTTCATTATTTTGTCTGTTGTCACCAGGATTTAAGTTACATGAAAATAAGGATTTTTGTCTCAACTGGTTTTGTTCATGGGTGTACCCCAACATTGAGAGCAACGGAGATATAGAGAAGATGCTCAGCAAATATTTGTTGAATAAATAAATGAAATAAAGGTATCACATATGACAAATACACACTATAGGTGATGTTGGTGAACATTTTGAGAAACTTGAGAGCAGGGTTGTGGTCCCTTCCATATGCTCTGAATTCTCCTGGCTATTCCAGATTATAAGTGGACTTAAAATAAGTGTTTGCTCAGATGGAATTAGAAAGAACTATGACTGCTCAGGACTGTTGTGTGTCCAGCAAGGTAAGCTTTTGGGAAAACCTAGAAAAGTGGTCCTGTTCTTGTGCTCCTGGTTGCTCAGGCAACAGCCATTCTTAGGTATTTAAAATGCTGCTCAAGAAAAAATTCTGACTCAAAACAGAAGCTGTCATGCACATAAGTAGATTGTGTGCACATGAGGTCTTAGAAAAGGCTGCACTGTCTTAGAAGTCAGGGGAACACCACTGCCTCTCCAGCCCAAGCTCATCAGTCACTGTTTTCATGTCCCCATAGGACTTACTCCTATGGGGAATAGCACAGGACATAGAGTTTACAGAAGGCTGAGGATCACATTTCTTGTTCTGGGTGCTGAATACCGGAATATGTTCACTAGTGAACACTCCTTGAGCTACACTCTTTATGACTTATGCATTTTCTGTATGTATGTTATATATCACATTTTTTTTTAAAAAAAGCTTATTTATTGAGAAAAAGGAGAGAAAAAGAAGAAAGTGATGCTTCAATCTTAATTTTTGCAAACTGGAAGCTACCAAGTGCCCACCCTGGGGCCAACACCAGTAAAATGGGCAAGTTCACTATCTGCACAGTGGAATTCCACACAGAAATGGGAAGGAAGTCTGTACTCCCACGTGCATGTGGAGGGACCTGACAAACAACGCTGTGGGCAAGCACCCTGACACGAGAAATGATGGCACGTTACTATCTCAACTATAAATGTCAATGTCACTGGACATCAGAACAGTGGCTACCCCTGCAGGACAGGGATACAGAGTGGAAAGGAGAAGCAGTATACTAGATGCAGGTTGGGAGCTATGCTCAGTTTAAAGAATGTACAAAGCTCCACTCACAGGTGTGAGCGTCTCTGTCTATGTAAATGAAAAGTTTAAGTAAAATAAAGTGTTGCAAAAATGCTCTTTGGACATTCAAAGCCAGTCAGTCAGATTAGCAAACAAAATAGTCCTTTGCTCCCAAGTCTTTTCTCTGCATTAAGAAAAAAATACGTACCTCTACCTCTGCAGCCTGAGGGGCTGCACCAAAGGTATTGGGTCATCTGTTCCTTTCTTGCTGCCAGTCTGCAAGGGCCAGGAGAGGCAGTGGGAAGGGCTGCTTTCCTCTGATAAGGAGGAGGGGCCTTCTAGGACCTCCCCTTCTGAATACACCCAAGGATATGCCTACAGGTGTGCATAGAGAATCAAGCTCCAGATCACACCCTACATGTCAATGGCGCTGTCCAATCATACAAGGCTTTAAGATTGCCGCTTGCCTGCTCACACTGTGACATTGCCTAACTGCTAACTTAAGTTATAATTTTGACAAACATCGGAGAAAAACACCTCCTTTGTGATTCATGCATTCTGCCATTTCCAGCATAGCCAAACAGAGGTAATAGCTGGGCAGCCAACTACCCTACTTAAGCCCTCCCCATCCTCCTACCAGCTCACCTGATTAGTTATTGGCTTGAACTTCAAATCAGACTTATTCAAAAGACTCTCAAGCTGTTCATGGTTGAAGTTTGACACACCAATGTCCTTCACGAGCCCTTTAATCACCAAGTCCTCCATGGCCTAAAAGAACAAAGGACTTTGCTGTATGTACAAGCTCTGTCTATTTATCTGATAAACTCCCTCTCTCACCAACTCTGCATGGACTTCTAAAACTGGATCCACCCCAAACTGTAAAATATTTTACTTGAAACTTCAAAACCACCGTTGAACGTAGGTCTAGTCCCAGTTCCATCTTTTAATACATTTATTTATTTATGTATGTATGTATGTATGTATGTATGGATGGATGGATGGATGTGGGGCTGAGGATCAAACCCCGTGCCTCACATGTGTGAGGCAGGTGCTCTACCATTGAGCTACAGCCCCAGCCCCCAGTTCCATCTCTTAATAGCGGGAGATACTGGGCAAATTACATGACCTTGATAAGCCTCAACTTCCTCAGTCACAAAATGAGGACAATATTGTCTACACCCATTGGAGGGTTGTTTCAAGGCTACATGAAATGATATACAAATGATATAATGCTGGCATTGAGCAAACCCAGCTAATTTTAAGTACTAATATTTCTATTGCCCTCAATAATTGTTGATCTGGTGCTTGGCAATGTGGGCCCTGTTGGTTTCATTTTTCCACTTTCCTTTTCACCTCTGTGACCATCTTCTTAAAGCACAGTGGTACACCGTCACTCTCCTATTCCACCTTAGCCATTTAGCATTTTAAAGAACTCACGAGCAGAGCAACCTGAAGCCATGAGCTGCCACTGACCACAAGCCAGCCTGCCTCTTTCTTCAGAAGTGCTCGGCCTTCCTGTCAGTGTGGATGGTCAGGAGTAAATCCTACCAGGTCATGAGGACAGTGACTGATGAGCACAGGTGCACCATTGGTGCCGTGCTGCTGCCAACACCAGAACCTTGCTTGTGCTACATGAAAATCCTAGAGTTTACCCCAAATCTTTAAAGAGAGGCACCCCAATGTGACAGGAAGGGCAGGAGCCCCTGGGCACTGCTCCTGACACCTGAGACACATGGTAGCACGTCTCCACGTTCCCCTTATTCATAAGAGGAGAGGACAGTGGTGCTCAGCCCAGTGTGTCCTGTCATTTCTCTCATGTCTCTAACTGGGTGACCCCAGGTTCCCCCCTGGCTTCACCTTGCAGCCTCACACCAGTGGCTCCAGATGTCATCTCCTGAATTTAAGTTCTGTCCTGAATTCAGCAAGTGCATTTTCTTCCTGGGCTTCAAACATGACCAGGCTCTGTCCCGCACTGGGCCAGCTCTGCTAGAGCCCTCAGGGAATCTTACCGGGCTCTCCCTGCACCAGCCTGCCAGTTGGCATCCAAACACTCAAATCCACCACTTCCCTGGTTCCCCTCACCACTGACTTGGGCCCTCACAACCTGTCTGCTTAAAAGAGAACTAAAAGGAACTACCACGTACTACTGGTGGCTATCATGGTGTAACAGGAACACGGAATTTTGAATTTTCTTTTTTATACTCTTCTATATTTTCTGAAACAAAAGTGTGATAATTTTAATTAAAAATAAGTAAACTTTGGGTGGGAACAAAGGAGGTCTGTATTAATTATTCCTAAAATAATATTTCAGAGAGACATACCACCATAAGCGAAAGGTAATAAGAAAGTCATGTGAGGTCTCCGAGTTCTTCAGGTCTTCTTTCCTAATTTACACTGCAAATACTGTGTCTCAAGTAGACAACGCAGGGTCTGAACATAAGGTATTCAAGTCTCATACCCATTCCTATCTGGAGGTGTATCACCAGGGATGATGTTGCCAGAGGAGGTGTCTCAGCTTACCTCCCATGTTTTCAGGAAGCTTGTATCACTAGGTATAACTATACCGCTGAGATCCAAAGGGACATCTTCTTCTCCAGGCTGTGAGAACCAGAAGAAAGGAGCTTACTGGGGCTTGTGATCATCCCTGATTAGAAACTAGGGGGAGAGAGAATCCACATGTTTGGGAAGAGCTCTGTTGTGAGACATCCATCTAAGCCTTGGCCTTGTCACTAAGCAGTACTAATCTGGCTTGACCACTTCCGTTCTGCAGGCCTCAGCCTCTACTTTGATGAAATCAAGGGTTGTGAAGACTGAGTGGTCAGCAAAGTCTATGCCAGCCTTGAAGTTCACTGTTCACTTCTCACAAGGTAAGAAATAAAGATCTTGGTTCCCTGCTTATTGTTAAATGTTTAATAACTTCAGACTAGGAATGGGGTATTAACGGGGATCTCCTTCAAGTCTTAAGTCTTCTTGTGACTCCATTACTAGGATCTTTCCTTTTCTTAGAACCACCATCATGATGATAGATAATGAAGTGAGAATCCAAAGGTTATAGGAAGTGAAGGGTAGAGAAAGATACCCTAAAGTCTCAAAATCTAGAGTTACCCTTAGAGCAGCTGTAGATATTGCTTTGTAATCTGCCCCTTGTTCATTTACAGTCCTACCTCACTAACATTGTCACAGGGCAAGTGGCAGAAAATACATATCCTTTTATTAATCCTTAAGCATTAAAAATTTTGAAAGTTCTGGCCCGATCCATATTTTAGAGGTATTTTCCGTGTTAATGAGAAGTAATTGTTTACTTCACAGCTATTTCCCATCTTGATATATTTTTAAACACCCACATAAGTCTAACCACTTACTGAGCAGTACCTGGAAGCCCATTGGCCAGTGCATCAGGTACAGATCCAAGTAATCCAGCTTCAAGGCCTTCAGACTCTTTTTGCATGCCACTTTCACCAAGGACGGCTCATGATAGGTGCACCATAGCTACAGGGAGAAGGGAGACCACAGTCACACAGCCACTATCCAGAGCCAACACAGCATCCGCTCCGTGTTCCTACAGAGCTACTCTCTGGGAGACCAAAACATTCAAGTTGAGATGACAACAAATACAACAGGGCAGGTTCTCAGGAGAGGACAGCGSCAGCACCCTTAGCAAAGCTCCACAGGAGTCTACACACAGGGCTTTGCTGCCTCCCTCCTACACAGGGGACATTCAGGACACCAGAAGACATTTGGTGGGAGGGCTGATGGTTATTTGGATCCACTGAAACCATTACAAGAAAAAGAAAACCATGCCATTGGGCAGAAAAGATAGAAGTAACAATCAAACGTTTTGTTTCCAACGCAAATAGGCTTTATGTTCAAGGTTCTCCGTTACTAAGGTAGATAACCATGTGGGTTAAACCAGATGAGTTAACATATGTTGCCTTATATTAATGTAGATATTTCCATCTCACTTCTAGGAAATAGAAAAATTTATGATTGCTTTTCTCCTCATTACTTCTCCTATATTTTTATTAATTGTGACAGAAGCTGACCTGAAGGCTCTATCACAGCAAGTGAACACGAAAATTCATAAGATAAAGTAAAAGAAAGGAGACTAAATGAAATCAAATGACAAGTATAGTATATTAACAGAAATGGGGGGACAGACAAAAACAAAATGCAAATACATCACATTGTTAACAGTAGTTGCTTCTAGGCAGTAAGTATATTGACTGAATTATATTTTTTTATGACTTTTTGAAATCCCCAAGTTTCTGCTGCTGGCTGTGATCCACTCAGAAGTAACCCATCCTCAGACTGCAGGGCAAGACTCAGAAATCCCATTACCCATCTCACTACCTTGATATTCAGAAGTCTCCTTTCTTGGTCAAGCATACACCAAGGCTTCTCCTTTAGCCTCTGCCCAGCTTAGACAGCAACAATGAATGATAAAATTTAACTATATTTCAGTAAAACAGAAAGGCAAACTTCCTATAGAGAGTTCACTAAATCTCAGAATTATGGGAGTTTAGATTTGGAATTCATTCAGAAGATTATCAGATTCAAACTCTCATTTTACAAATGCTGACACTGTGACTATGAGCTGTCCAACAACTAATATTCACAATTCCTGAATGACAGCTAGAACTTGGACCCATGACTTCTGGTCTCCTGGTTTTAACATTTGCTTCAAGGTCAAAAGCAAAGGAATTCATTAATTCTGTACTACTTAGTCTACCTCCTGTACTGTTTAGAAGGATTACCTTTTTAAATATCCTTCGCACTCATTCCCTTCTTCTGCATCCTTCTCCTGATGCAGTTTAGGCTTTCAATACTTCCCACCTACACTGCTCTTTACTGGTCTCCTGCCTGTCTCAAATGCATGCTCCTTTCAGCTGCTACAATATCCAATATACAACATAAATATCACTTACCTATAATACACACTGCCTGACTTAAAGACCTCTTGGTTTTACTTTGTCTCCAGAAAAAGGAAAGGCTCCTTGAATAGCATACCAAAACCTTCACAGCCTGGCCCAGCCTCATTTCTCATCACCCTGCCACCTCCCACTGTGTAATCCAGGAACATCAAGCTTCTTACAGATCCCTGCATCTGTTCTGTGGTTCATTCCCTGTGTCTATATGCAATCTGCTCCCTCGGTTTGCAATTCTATCCTGAACCTTCTTTACCTGCACCACTCCCAGAGCTTCCTATTCCGCAGATCTGCTGGGGAATTTGGAATCTGCATTTTTCCAATCACTCCAGGTAATTCTGAGCTTGGGAATTTCTGTATAGACAGAGTTCATGAAGGTTGAAACTTTATCCTACTCACCTCTGGAGCCAAAGTGCCTATTACTCAATCAATTTTAATTTTAAGAATGCACCTAATTGAAATAATAATAATGGAAGGGAGATCAGTAGAGATCAGCAAGTGGATTATGAGGAGGGGAGGAAAAGGGAAGGTATTAGGAAATGATAATGTTCAAATTATGTAATGTGCATGTATTAATATGGCATAGTGAATTATACTAATATGTATAATTATAATGCACAATAAAAAATAAAAATATATGTTAGCAAAAAAGATGGAGCAAGAGAACTTAATAATAATAAGTGAAAAAAGCAGGCTGTAGAATAATGTGTTTGGTGTAGTTCTGCTCCTGAAAAAGCAAACAAACCAATACCCTGCATATGAGCACATGCACTGCATCAGCCAGAGAAAGTGCAGAAGATTGTTCACATGAATCAGTCAGAAAGAGGAAGATACAGGATTTGGAATGTGGCCAGGGAAGAGGAAAATGATTAACTCTGTTTTTAGACATCTTTGTATTGTGATAAATTATTATAGAAGGAAAAAAAGAACATTTTACCAATTGGGGGATCTCTGCACTCCTACCTGAGTGATCAAATGCATAATATGAAGCAAATAAAGCTACATACAATATAACTTAGCATGTTTATTAAGCTGTGATACTTCTTGTTAGTTTTGGTTCAAGCAGAAAACAAAACCATCTCTTCCCATCAGGAGACTGGTGAGTGCTCCAAGCAAGGCAAGTTCAGCTCTTCCATTGCCTAAGAGTACAGTGGCAGGGACTCCACTGTCCCTGCAGCTAAAAAACCTACCTTACTGACAACAAACAGGTCCTCTCGTCTCACAACACCCTCCTTGATCTTTTGTCGAATTCCTGCTCCTATCTCATTCTCATTGTGGTATAAGTAAGCACAGTCAAAGTGCCGGTACCCCGCATCAATGGCCACCTTCACTGCCTCAGCAGCTTCTCCTGGAGATGCCTGCAAAATCAGCAGAAGAAAAGTGTTCCATCAAAGTCAGAGAAATGCAACCCCCAGTTCTCTCTGACCACCTGAGAATAGAGAAGCAAATGATACATACTTACATAAAGGTAATCTACCACACAAATGAGCATAGGCACAAATCCACATAAGTAGTCTGGATCCCACAGCAATAGAGAAATTCAGAAAAGAAAGCAGTTACTGCAAATTGAGCTCTAGCAAGGCAAGGGACTGGAACTATGGGAAGATTGTGGGAGAAAGTTTATAGTCTCAGCAAACTGAGGATTCTTATATCCTCAGTTGAAGGGTAATTGACAACATCCTCTGAACTTCAACTATAAAATATATCAGTATAACTGTCTTCATTTAACAAGCAATAGATTCAGAGTGGCTGAAAGCTAGTAAATCAAACATCCATCTTAAGTTGAAAAGAGAAAATAAAAATAAAAATGTTGTTAATGAGCTTGGAAACAAAGATGTAAGAGAGAAGACCAGAAAATCTAGAAATAAGTTATTTGAAAAACCTTAACATGATAGACAAAAATTCTGGTAAGATTAGTCAAATAACATCAATTTTAAAAAATAAAATGACATGAATGAAAAGCAGGATATGAATATAAAATAGATTTAAAAGAACATATGCCCATTTGAATTAAATGTATGATAAGTCAAGATCATTGTAATATTTTGAGCAACTAATAAAAATAAATAAATAAATAAATAAATAAATAAATAAATAAATAAATAAAAAAAAGGTGGCTTTCTGAAACCACACCCCCCCCACAAAAAAAGAACTTATGCCAACAATTTGGAAAAATGCCAGGTAATAGAAGAATCCCCAGAGAAATTTAACTCAAAAAGAAATAAAATTTGAATAGTTAATTATTAAAGAAATGAAGCAACTAGAAATAAAAGAAAACCACAACTTACAGAGTTCTAGAAAATTTCCAAGAAGATTAATCCCAATTTATCATGAAATCTTTCACATAACAGAAAAAGAAGAAATTCTCTCAACTTGTTCTACAACACTAACATAAAAGTGAAATCAATTTAATCCATCAAGATGGCTACGAAATATCACACTCCCGGCTATTTGCTGAGAACCAATATGAACAAAGCATATCCTTGACATTCAAAAGTTGGCTGGCAGATGGGAGAAATAATTTAAACATTGGACTAGCAGGGACTGAGTGAGTATTCTAAACCTGACTCAATCAATAACTCCCATTTGACTTTTCATATGAACATCTTTTTATCAAGGACTAAATTTATTTTTTTTAAGAGCACGTTGGGAGTGTTCGGGGTCCTGCTTAGCCACTTCGGTCGCCGCCGTCTCCACGTCTGCCACCGCCACCACCATGCTCTCAGTCCGCACCCCACTCGCCACC